TGAAATCCAGGGAGTTCAAATCCAGCCCCAGCTTCTGCCAACCTAGCAGTTCGAAAACATACAAACGTGAGTAGATCAATAGGTATGGCTCCAGCAGGAAGGTAACGGTGCTTCATATAGTCATGGCGATCACATGATCTTGGAGGCATCTATGGACAATGCTGGTTCTTTGGCTTAGAAATGGAGATGAGCACCAACCTCCAGAGTCGGACACGACTAGACTTAGTGTCAGGGGAGAAACTTTACTTTTACCTTTACCCTAGCTGGAGGATACCAGCATGGATGGATGGATGGATAGATGATAGATAGATAGATAGATAGATAGATAGATAGATAGATAGATAGATAGATAGATAGATAGATAGATAGATACTAGGGCATAGATAGATAGATCTAAAGAGATCTTCCCATACCTGAGCTGGGATTACACAGCTTGGGACTCTATGGGGAGATTACAAGGCTCCTGATACAAGTTGCCAGAAGTTTTTAGCATTATTGTCCAGTGAAACATTGATCAATAGCACCCAGGGATTATGCTCTCTCTCTCTCTCTCTCTCTCTCTCTCTCTCTCTCTCTCACTCTCTCTCACACACACACACACACACACACAATTCTAGTTTTGTAAACTAGTTTCAGAATCAACCCAAGGAATCAGGAACTACAAAAGGCAATTAATGCATTAATCAGAGAAAATATTTATTTACAGGAATGTAAAAATTATGTTACAACATTTGGAACAAAACCATCATGAGTGATTACACAAGAAGGCATGGGGCAGATATTTCAACTTTATATCCATTGTTCTTTAAAAAAGAAATCATATTGGTTTGAAAATGTCAAAATGTATTCAGGTTATGATATTTTTCATAGTTTAAGAATCCAATTCCTCTTTCTTCTTGTCAGTGAAAAGCTCCAGTGCTACACTGCAAGAATCTAGAAAGATTAACAACTAGTTGCCCTGATCAGATTGTAAATCGAGGTTACAATAAAACAGCCATCTGGATTGATTTCTCTTACAAGCAGATGGTTGTGGGCACATGTTCACAGCAGAGAAGAGGATGGATCATACTAAAAAAAAACTTCACACCACATTTCCGTTTTCTAGCCACTGATTGCATTGGTACCAGCCTGCTTTAGTGCAAATGCTGTAATAGTGCAATGGGATGATATACATGCAAAATTAATATTATTCAATATAAAACATTTTGAACACAGAGAGGACTGCTTTGATCCTTGGCATCTGTAATCAAGAATAGCTTATAGGACAAAGAAAGACCAGTTATCAGGTGCAAATTTCTGCCCATCTCCTCTCCACAAAGTCCAACTTTTCCAGACTGCACTTCCTCAACATTGTATTTACTTGCTAATAGTGAAGTGTGGATGTGGATGGCATAGCATTTAGTCATGTGCCTTGGGATATATGCAGAGTGACAATGTGATCCTCCAGAATTTCACGGGATCCTTGATCAGTCCCAGAGGATGTCTTGTCACTGTGATTCCAGCTACACATTCAGAGGTGGATGTTTACTTCTACTCCCCACCCATATTCACAATTTGAAAGGATGCAGCATGTAGTCAAACAAACATAGCTAAATTCTGGCCAAGGTTTTTAAAAAGAGATTTTGGTTGTTGTATAAGAGCGAATGAGAATCCAGACCTCTGCAATAATTAAAGACACATAACAGGTATAAGTTGGAGTTATGGCTGCGTATGTTACTAAAAGGATGCCAGCTCTAGTTAATCAGAAACATTCCCCCAATTTGGTGATATTCAGGTTTGATTTTAAGTTACTGTATCAACAAGTTATTCTCTTGTCCCCTGTCTCTCTATTAAGGAAAAACTGATTGGAAAATGTACGGAGGGCACTCTGGATCTGTGGGCTCTTGATCTGTAGATTCAACCAATATGAGATCAAAAATAATAATAGAAATACAACATTCAAATGCTTTAAAAACAAAAGCCACAGTCTTAAAAGAATAAAAGCACTGCATGATGTTTCATCTCTCCCTTAGCCTGTCATGAGGACACTGTTGTGGAAGCTGAGGGTGAAGAAGGCATTGAGGTGGTTCAGGAGGGAAGGAAGGGGAAGCTGTGGCTCATGCTTGCATTTGGCATCTGCCTTCATGGTGCACATAAGAAATTGTAGGTTGGTAAAGAGCGCATGTCCAGGGTGGAAGAGGGAACTGGTTGTCAAGGTGGGCTGAGGAGGTTGAGGTTTGTGTGTGCACAGTAGTGGCTGTATGTATGGGGTGGGGGTGGGGGAGAAATGGATATCTTTTTATATAAGAGACTGGAACATCCATGTTTTCCAGTATTGAATGGAGGGCTGAAACCAATCTCCCATAGATACAGAGGGCCTACTATACACAAATTATCCTATTCCATAAAGGTGAGTAGCACAGGTGCTCTGTGAAGTTGGATCATAAGTGAATATAACAGAGGAACGAATTTACAGAAAGGAATCATTCTGGCACTACAAAAAATCCCACAACTCAGATGCTTGCGAATAAAGTGAAATTTCTCCTAAACTGTATCATCATCTGTACCAATGTCTTTAAAGAGCCCCTTTGAGATGTTTTATTATGGTGGGAAAACATTGAGTGAATGCATATCACATATGGAGCAACAAGTTTTTTCATAACATTATGCATGCATACCATGCATCAATGTCTGATAACAGGAGTGCTGCACAGGGAGAGAACCACTCCCATGTTGTGGCAGCTCCACTGGCTGCCGGTCTGCTTCTGGGCTAGATACAAGTGCTGGTTATTACCTTTAAGGCCCTAAACGGCTCTGGTCCAGGCTATCTGTCAAATTGCCTCTCCTCATATACACCACCTCAGACACTGCAATAATCGGAGGAGGCCCTTTTCTCTGTCCCACACCTGTTCTCAAGCATGGCTGGTGGGAAGGAGAAAGAGAGCCTTCCAGGTGGTCGCTCCCCTTCTCTGGAACTCCCTCCCTAAAGAAATAAACATGGCCCCTCCCTCCTCTCCTTCAAAAAAAAAAACAACTGAAAACTTATTTCTGTTCATTAGCATACGGAGAGGAGGCTGATTAGAAGCTCTCATCCAATCAATATAACTGTTCCAAATCTGTGACCATACTCTGACTTAGTTGATTTTGGCTTAGTTGGTGCCATTGACCACACTGGTGTTATTGGCTGCATAATATTTTAATAATTATTTTAAATGAATGTTAACTGTTGCTTGTATAATTTATGTCTAATGTTGACTATTATATATTTAATTTTTTGAGTATAATTTGGCTGTGAATATTGTTTTTTGAGGACATGGTTTTATGTTTTTTTATTTATGAATTTGGATCTGCATTGAATGTTTGCCATCTCTTGTTGTGAATCCATCCGGAGTTCCCTTGGGGAGAGAGGGTGGAATATAAATAAAATTATTATTATTATTATTATTATTATTATTAGAAACACAACAAGATGAGTCCACAGCAGACACTCTGCTGGCTGTTGAATTGGTTCACACGTCGGACACTTCCCAAATGTCTAGGACTGTGTGATGTATTGGCGAATAATGTGTGCAGATCCCAGTAAAATGGCCTTCTGCAGCTGGCAGATGATAATTTTGTCAGTGCCAATTGTGTTTAAGTGCAGGCCAAGGTCTTTAGGCACTGCACCCAGTGTGTCGATCACCACTGGGACCACCTTTACTGGTTTGTGCCAGAGTTTTTGCAGTTCAATTTTTAAATCCTCGTATCGTGTCAGCTTTTCCAGTTGTTTCTCTGCAATCCTGCTGTCACCTGGGATTGTGACATCGATGATCCATACTTTGTTTTTTAACACGATTGTGAGGTAAGGAGTATTATGCTCCAAAACTCTGTCTGTCTGAATCCGGATGTCCCAGAGGAGTTTGGCATGTTCATTTCCTGTAACTTCTTCCGGCTTGTGATCCCACCAGTTCTTTGTCTTAGGCAGATGGTATTTGTGGCACAAGTTCCAATGAATCATCTGATCAATGGTGTTATGCCTCTGCTTGTAGTCTGATGATGATGATGATGATTATTATTATTATATTAAAATAAATACTGGACAAGACCTGGCCCTGTGATGTAAGTGTGTTCCGGATGCCATCTTGACCATCAGAAAAAGGCCTTAAAGGTTGTAAGTATGCCTTTAAAATATGCTTTCACAAAATAACCCTTAGACAGGCCAACTGTTTTTAAAAATGTCCTATTTCTAGAAGTCTGGTACCTCTTATCCTGCTATGAATCATATTTGAACCAGTCTGGTATTAAGGTGATAAAACAAAATTGGTTTGTGCAATTTTATTTTCAAAACTGTCAGTTGTCTGGCTTTCTCTGGTAATGAGGCAGCTATATTAGCCATAGACTGTAGGTGGATCTAGACACTCCTCTTAACAAATGAGGCAAAAATCACCAATTTGTTTTGTAGGAGGGAAAAAAGCTTATTCAGGGGAACTATGGAAGGAATTAATTTGCAGTCGTAGGAAGTATTCTAATTTCAAGCATCAGTTGGAGAAAATCTGATAGCCTCAGGGATCAGAAATGAGTTCAGAGAAATACAGTGCATAATATAAAAGTTCTCTTTGCATCATATTGAGATGGAATGGACACAATGAGACAAACCGATACAGAGGTTTGTGGTTAAAGTACCAATAAGTTCAAACTATAGCTTTCAACCATATAACAAAATAGATCGTATAATAGAAATCCAGAAAAAATGGATTGAAGAGTAGATATGAAACCAACCATATCAGTTTTTTAATGTGACAGCAATATTGGAAGTATTAACAGGATTTTTGAAATATTTTTTATCCATGCTGTCCAGTGGACTTATCTGTTGCTAAGACAGAGTTGGAAGAGATGGGAAATTTGCATTTTAGTTAGGTGTGAGGATGTAAATTTGAGTATTGAAATTATCTGAAGTTTTCCCAATCTGCACAGAACTAGCGCAGAACATCACATCCATTATGGTATAATGATAGCTTGGGAGGAAAAACCCCAGCCATGAATATTATTTACCCACCATTAAGATTCCATTTAATCAATGTACCTGCTTTAAAACAGGAATATAAATAAATACAAATAATTAAAATACAGCTAACATATTGAATCATAAAACTTTGATGATCTCATTTCATTATGCTGTAAACATTTAAGTGCAATATCACCTGACTTTAAATATAATGAACCATAAAACATGCTAATCATAAAAATAGCTTTTACAAATATACATTTGTATACAGTGTCTTCCTCATTTTAAATATGTCCTTCCTATTATCATACAAGTAATTGGCTTTCTGACATCAAAATTAAAAAAATAATACCAATAATTAGCCAGGAAAAAACACATTTACAATCTAAACCATAAAAATCTGACAATTGTACAGCTTTAGAACATACAAGAAATGGAATTTCTAAGTTTTGAATGGTTGCTTCCATTTCAAAGAGTAATTTCAGTTCTTTGCAAAAACTGAGTTAAAGGTGTTCTCAGCCGGCAAGTAATCGCAGGTCACATTTCCAGACAGAGAAGTCAGTCTTCTCGGTTTCCACAGGGGCTGGATAGGGCTCCCAAATCATTTTATCTGTAGAAACTATAACATAAAATGCATATTTTAGTCTGAAAGCATTTTGAACAGGAGTGACAGAAGAAATCAAACTGAACTAAATAATGAATAATGAATTCTACAAATTGGTCTATTTGGTGTTTTTTGCCTTTCTTAGAGCTTGGGAATATTACATTTTTGGATCACAATTCTGAGAATCTCATGCTGGTTGGAGGCTTCTGAGAATTGTGGTTCAAAAAATAACTTTTTCAAGCTCTATTAAAAAGAGTCCTCAGCTTGATTTGTTTTCTAGTGCTGTAATATAGGGAATAGTGACTTCATCTTTCTCTCCAACAACAGCTTTTCAATGGAAATCACACCCTAAGGAGTCGCGGTGGCACAATGCGTTAAACCTTGTGCCAGCTGAACTGCTGACCTGAATCCGTGAGAGGGGGTGAGCTCCCATCTGTCAGCTCCAGATTCCCATACACAATACAAGCCATGAGAAAAGCCTCCCACAGGATGGTAAAACATCTGGGCATCCCCTGGGCAATGTCTCTGCAGATGGCCAATTCTCTCACACCAGAAACAACTTGCAGTTTCTCAAGTCGCTTCTGACACAATTAAAAAAACCCCAACAAAATTGCTGAAATGAAAAACATATAGGCATAGAAATTCAACTCTAGCTTCATCTTTGTTCCGGAGTGCAATGGCTCTTTTATGATGTTGACAGTGAAGCTCCTTAAGTATGAAATTTCTTATACATCTTTCAGTCTTTGTCCGGATACAATATAAGTGACACTTTGTCTATTTTCCCATCCTAATTCCTCATCTCAGTGACCCTGATGTGTTATCTAGTTCCGAATCATCAACACTTCAACAACAATTGCCCATTATTATAGCACTAAAGTGATTGTTTTAAGTGGCACAGCTAGCCTTCATGCATATTAGATTTATTACTGCAATGTCCCTGTAAGCCGAAGAGGGGGCAAAATGCATCTTTCTGGTTATGATTTCAATTCTCAATGTTCTTTGCCATTGATTATGTTGAATGGGGCTGTCAGGAGTCCCCATTGGCCAAAATCTGACAGACCAAGATTTATCTGATGAGGAAGGATAAATTCTTATTTAAAGAACCTTCAGAATGACTAAAATACAGGCCTTGCACTCATGTATTCTATGAAGCACACTCTAGAAATCACCAAAGCAGTGGGAGAGGCTCCCATTAGCCATCTAGTCCAATGGTGCAGAAATCCAGAGCTAGAGAATTTATTTATTTGTTTCAAACATTTGTATCCCACCCTTCTCACCTCCCGAGGGGTCGGGGGACTCAGGAGAGTTCACAACCAGCAACCATTAGATGCCAAGCACAATTATAATAACATTTACAATTACAACAATTAAAACAATTATAAAAACATCCATTTAAAATTACACAAATTCAAAGTCATTCCCAGGAAAACTGTAGTTTGAAGACCTCTAGGAAGAAGCCCATTGCCTCCTAGGCAATAAGTTCCATTGTTAATCTGCTCTTGTGTTCAACAGGATCTAGAGTTGAGCTGAACTCTACTGCCTTGTACTACTCATTAAATATAAAAAACCACTATTGCTTATAATTTTGGAGAAATATTGCTGGTTTTCACTAGTCTATTCCTACTGAAAATCAGTTTTCTTCTATACTTTGGCTTGGAAAGAGAAGCAGGCAGTAATTCAGGGAATTATGGAACTTCTTTTCCTAAGCTCTGATGTCAAAAAGACAATATACAATAGCTGCACTATAAGTCTGGCTAGGAATATGGTAGTTTTCCATGTTTGCAACCCTGTATTCCATAGATCTTCAATTTTAAAAATAAAGAATAAATGCTACTTGCACCACTTTATGTCTACATAGATAAGATAGTAGAACAAAACATGGCTAACTACTGAACACTGGTCCAATGGCTCAAAAAGGTGTGAGATAACTACACTGCAATAAAGCTTTAGGAAAAGTGAGCCAGGTACACTCTCCGTGTCATAATTTGCATATATTTAGAAAACAGTATCTGAAGGGCAGTTTTCTTCAAGATACAAGCCATAGGAATTATTTGGGAAGAAAGTGGATTAACTGGAAGCAGCTGAATGTCAAAGATGTCTTTGGGGAACTGAGGCGGGGGGGGGGGGGGGGGGGGGGGGGGAGGGGAGACAGAGAAAGTAAATGGAAAAAAGGAACAGAACAGAAAAGCAATAATAGCAAGAAGGAAATGACACCAAGAGGAGAGAACATAAGCTGTTTCAAAGTAGGGCACTTGGATAAAGAGCAAAAGGAATACATTTTCTGCATTTGTTAGCACAAGACAACTGACAATGAGATTGTGATGGAGTTGAAAATTATTGGCAGGAAAGATTGAACAAGGATCACTAGTGCATTTGGAAAAGAATAGCAATAAAGCTGGACCTGTTTTTAGCCGTGTGCATTAAATAATTTACCCGGAATTTGTTCTCATTAATACTGACTTCCATGCAGATTATGGTGTATTTCTCTCTTTTCAGTTTTGTTCACAGTAGTACTTTTCTTTTGGCAAATTGCAAAAAGGAAAGGATGACTTAAGAGATGCATTATAGGAAAAATGTTCAGACGTGTGGATGCATACATTTAACTGTTCTTTCCTGACTCCCTGTTTCAGGTCACAAATGCTTCTACATCAATGTCCCTTTCCTCTATTCACCTGGCAGAAGAATTCTGTTCACCTGATAAATGATGAAACACACAATTCTGTAATAATGGAGAAATGCCCCCAAAAGATGAGCAGCTGCTCAAAACTGATAATGAAAAACTCATTATATTCACCGAATTCTGACAGAGAGCACCTACTGAACATTGAAGATGTCATGATTTCCTAGTTACTTTCAATCACATAAAGTAGATTGATTTGGAAATTGTATCAATATGGTAGCTTACAATTTAAGGAAGAATATAGTTGAATACTGAGGAATCCAATAGGCCAGGGGTCCTCAAACTAAGGCCCGGGGGCCGAATGCGGCCCTCCAAGGTCATTTACCCGGCCCTCGCTCAGGGTCAAACTAAGTCTGAAATGACTTGAAAGCACACAACAACAATCCTATCTCATCAGCCAAAACTAGGCCCACACTTCCCATTGAAATACTAATAATTTTATATTTGTTGGAATTGTTCTTCATTTTAATTATTGTATTGTTTTTAAGTGTTTTTGGCACTACAAATATGATATGTACAGTGTGCATAGGAATTCATTCATATTTTTTCAAATTATAATCCGGCCCTCCAACACTTTGAGGGCCTGTGACCTGGCCCTCTGTTTGAAAAGTTTGAGGACCTCTGCAATAGGCCATAGTTAGTTCAAGTTCAGATTTTTCTGGATATGCAAGTTGTTTATTTATTTAGTCTCATGACTTACATGCTTTCTTGAAGACAAGAGACAGAATAACATAGAGTTATCGCTTAATATCCACACATTCTGTTGCCATAGATTCAAACATCACAGCTTGAAAATACCCACTTCCCAAAATAAATACCAAAAGCAAACATTGATTTTGCCATATTTGTATGAAGGATACCATGTTACGACATTGTTGTACATAATGCGATTTGTACATCCAAATATTTTGTTAACCATGGAGGGTCCCAGAACTAAACTCCAGTGGCCCGTGGTATATAAAAATGAAGAATGTTTAGTTACCAGTTAACAGAATGTATTATAAGCTTTCATAGGCTGGACAGGCTTTGACAGACACATTATAGGCTGTTACATTATTTCATACAAATGATACTATTATGCTTCCCTGTACATAAAAGCAACAGATTACAATTATTGTGGTTTCTTTTAAGAAATTGTTTCCAAACTCTATAAATAATTATGAAAAGGCACCTAATATGATTCTTCTGGCTGAAGTTAATTCAAAAGTCTAGCTTTCTATGTCAAATGCAGGAAGATGCCTTTAGAGGTTCAGAGTGAGAACAGGAAGGTGAGTGATACTTAGGTATTGTGGCTAACCGAATTGAGAGTTCAATTACTTAATGTATTTATACTCATCCTTCAGCCAAACAGGTTCCCAGATGTCTTAAAATATTTAATTTGAGAGTACCCCACCCTCAGGTTTACAATCCAAATCCAACACAATACACACAAAAGATAATGCCAGGCAAAGAGAAAGGCAGAACAAAATGCAAATGGTATGCTACAAGGGATTATATTCATGAGGTGCTGGCTGCTATTAAAGGCATCTCCCAGACATCTGTATAAAATCCACATTGAACTGGATTATCTGGCAGTGTGGACTCAGATAATCCAGTTCAAAGCAGATATTATGGATTATCTGCTTTGATATTCTGGGTTATATGGCTGTGTGGAAGGGCCCCTACAACAGCAATTGGAGTTTAGAGGGAGGGACTTCCACTTCATGCTTAGGCAAGATGAAGCTGTGCTTGGCTGTTCTTCTCTCCCTCACATAGTAGAGCAGGGGTCCCCAAACTCCAGCCCTCCATTTACCCCCACCCTAAAATTTAGACTAGGGTCTTCCTAAGTCTGAAACAAATTAAAGGCACACAACAGCAACAATCCTGATTAACTTTACTCTCTCATCAGCCAAAAGCAGGTCCACACTTCCCACTGAAATATTGGTAAGTTTATGTTGGTTAAAATTGTTAATTTTAAATATTGTATTTTTGTGTTTTTTGTTGCACTACAAATAAGATATGTGCAGTGTGCATTGGAATCTGCCCATTTGTTTTTCAAACTGTAGTCCAGCCCCCAACTGTCTGAGGGAATAGTCATTAATACTTAGAAATGATGGAGTAGTGTTTGACTTCTCTTTCCCCTTCAAAATATAGACCAGTGGGCAGTTTGAATATGGAAGGAGCAACTGTCACCAGACATTAATGCTTAAACATAATCGATCTGTTTTGGCTGATTTCTTTCCTTGAGAGGCCAGAGTGATGTGGGCGTTTGAACAAATACAGCACGCAGAAACCTGTTCTGGGATATTATATGATGACATATTGGTTTGTACATGTTGGCCCCTTAGTCTGAAGA